GGCTAATAAACAGCCTCCTTTCTCGAAAGCTGAAATATTTTGGTCATATCAAGCGCCACGGCGGATTGGAACAAGTATAGCAGAAGGAATGGTACCAGGAAGGAGGGGCAGGGGCCGACCGACACGAAGATGGGCACAGGATATAGGTGACTCCTTGAATGTGAAAATGCATGAGGCGGGAAAAATGGCGAGAGACCGAGTTTCTTTCAGGCAGACTGTGACGAGAGCGACGTTCTGCAAGGACCTGCTCCATGATGATGATGATGAAACAGTCAATATATTTTGGACTTGTTATGCTTCAAAAACTCGGCGACAGCTGGCAAGACTGACGGGAAAAAAGCAAGGGGAAAGCAAACAGCTATAACTCTAACGAGGACAGATTTGACGTGTTGAGCTTATTTTTCTTTCTCAAACAATTACCTTCATAAATAAGTGCTAGAAAATTCTAGAATTTATCCTAGTGTGAGTTCTGCGCCCAACCCCCCTCCCCCCCCCCTCTCTTTTCAATGAGCGTTTCGTAACATGCGAATAATTATGGGTGTTTTCTCCGGTGTACGTTCCGGTCCCAGTTGGAGGGACGGGGGATAAACCTACTGCTCCCTTATAAACAAGTGCCAATTACTGCCTTTATATACAACGTTTAAGGTGTAGGCAGGCGGGCGGGTCTTTGGGCCTAAGGATTTAAGGCCGCAGGGCTAGTGCTGTCGCCACGACTGTGCAGGTGTTTTCTCCAAAGTCAGAGTGCATCTGCCTGAAATGCAAGGAACCAACAGTCTTTATATAAAATCAGATCAATCTGTAAAACGGAAGATCTGTTACTAGAAACATTGCCGTTGTCTTCGGGCTAAACAGACTCCGACCCTACAACATGTGTCAGAAATAAACAAAAAAAAGTGCCACTTTTGTCACGGTGTTGTGGCGCGGTGATTTATGTCACAGGCGTGAGGGGAAGTTAAGTCCAACTTGATGTGTATAAGGAGATACTCCGTACGTCACTCGGGCGCCAGTCCTTTACTATCCTGGTTGTACGGAACCTGACGCAAGACCCCTACAGCACGTCCTCGTCGTGCGCCACGGATAATGTCTCAAATGAGCATTAACAGAGCTGTCAGGGGATCTCGGAGTTCGGCGGCCCCCAGAGGTGATGTGTCCTTGTGGCTCTCATCAGCCCGCCCCCAAACGCTTGGGTGAAAAATGTTACCAAAACTCATTAGGAACATGAGTAGGTCTGCCAAACGTACAGCCAAAATTACAACCCTCGGTTAAAAGACTGCGGAGTAAAGAGAACATTGTTCACTGCACATCCTGTTAACCCTCAGTGTCGTCGTCACCGCGCTGAGGTACACCACAACAGCAACCATCCATAGGCTGGCCATCCTTGTACATCCTCGGTTAACCCTCAGTGTCGTCGTCACCGCGCTGAGGTACACCACAACAGCAACCATCCATAGGCTGACCATTCATGTACATCCTCGGTTAACCCTCAGTGTCGTCGTCACCGCGCTGAGGTACACCACAACAGCAACCAACCATCGGATGGCTAAGCCTAATTGTCCGACAAAACTAGATCATTCGGATCAAAATCTGACCATCAAAATGTGTATTGAACTGAAAAAGACCGAATGTCCACACCCAAAGACCCCACTCGCCCGAGTGTTGGGACAAAACTGATAACGATATGCCTGATGTAAAATTCTGTCGGGCTAACGGCTCGTCAAAGAAATCTAACGTGCGAGAAAAAAAAAAGAATGTACCTATCTGTGTGGTCACAAAAGTCCAAAACTCACGGGCTGCTCCCCGCTGACTTCCAGAGGGCGCAGCCCCTGTCGAGCGGGAGGCCTGATACGGTTGTGAGGTTAAGCAGGCATGTGCAAGACGTGACGATTCCTTGGGTGAGCCTAGAACCAGAGCGCCATGAGCCGGCTCTGCATGCATAGAAGCCTCCTTGGATGGCGGGGAATGCACATGATCTGCCCCTGCCTTCCCTTGAGGGCTAACTGTTCCACAGGGGGCTGCCCCAAAGGGGTACTCCGAGGGCAATACCTGCGGCGAAGGGGACAAAGTGGACACCACACAAATCAGGCAACGTCACGACCCACACAAAACAATGGCCACAGTCAACCTAGAAATAGGCCTGACGTCTTCCTTCGAAGTCGGAGTACAGCTGCCCATGAGGCAGGGAAATGAAAAACGGTTGTACACGCAAAAATCAGGTCCAGGTGAAAGCCAAAAGTCCAAGCGGACGATTAACCGGGACCTTCCACTGGAATTCACAGCCGGTGATCGATTAAAAAAAAAAAAAAAAAAAGTCACGGTGTTCTGGGAAAAGAGTGGGCTGACGGAATGGCTGATCCTTTACCACTTTATAGCGACCTGATACAGTATATGGCCTGTCAACTTCTCTGGATTGAACCCATAGCACTATCTCGACAGGCAAGAGAACTAACTAATGTACCACAAAAGCTGCTTCCAGAATAAAATAACGTTAACGGATTTGCTGTGTTGTAATCCTCCTCCACTCACCCCTCAGGATTGCAGTACGTAGGATTAACATCTCTTTTAAAAATAGGTATGACAACGAGAGAAGATGCTTGACAGTCTTGTTGCATGGCATGGAGGTGTGTCGGCACACGAACTGATACATGCTGCAGGAGATCGCAGATTATGGAGAGGCATGATCGCCCACGCCAGTCGACAAGGCACCTGATGATGATGATGATGCCTTTAGCAACAAATTCCATAAACCTGTTCAACTAGTTCTTCTCTTCTTAAACGCCATCTGATGTGGCGTTGGTAGTAAAGTCTATCCACAATCTTTTCCCTCAATTCTAATACAGAGGAACTTTCATGATGTCAAACTAACCAGCACCTTTTATCTGGCTCTCCCTCCCCTCCAATTTTCCTACTGTTACAATGTACGACAGTTTTCTCCTTCTCATCACATGATCAAAGAATGTAGATTGTCTCTTTTTGATGAGGGCAGTTAATTCTCTTTGTGAGTCAGTTTCTTTGAAGACGTCTTCATTACTCTTTTTTGTCTGTCCAGGGTATTCTAATCATTCGTTTAGGCAACTTACCTATGCCTATTCCTACAGAAGTCAGGTTTCTACCTGTGTAGACTAAGTATTTTGTTTAAAAACAAATTTATTATTCTTTAATCACTGTAGGGATTTCAGGGAGCTGGGAGGGAGACAGAATGGATCCACAACCCGCTAATGAGTATGTCAACAAACACAACTAATTAGAAGTCTGCTGAAAACTGATGTGTTAGGCCGAAAGTTACAGCCCAGCTGTAAACCACAACTCAACATGCAAACCACCCATTTAAGGGTGAACGTAGATGAAGAATATTCTCTATGTGAGAATCTCTATAGCTAAGGTTGGTGTTTTGAATGTTGTGGATTTGTTTCCCTTCACCTGATGATAATTTTTTAACGGAAATCCTAGAATATCATCAGGTTTGAGGTTTGAACAACAGATCAACATCATGGCACACAGGTAGTAACCCATAAATGCACCGTTCTTCTTCTAACTCAAGTCTGAGTCCGAAGATGCTTAACACAGTGCAACAGGCGAGGATCCTGAAATACTTTGGGTATATTTTTAACTCAAAATTTTGCCAGGGCAGAGCCGTTAGGCTACTCTTTTCGATTTTCAACTGCCAAGGGATTTTTTACGTGCGCAACAATGCACACAGGTGTCCGATCTCACTACCCAGAGACCAGGAGGAATTACTAGAAGTTCAAGTCCACATGAAAAACATCCCAGCCCTTACGAGGGACTGAACCTGGAACCTCTAACACTCGAGGTGGACTCCATGCCTCGAGACCACGCAGCCCCCTAAGGATATCATGACTGGAGCTCTAGTATGTCCTTCTGTCTCTCTAACTCTGTTTTCTCTGTTCACCGGCTGTAAGCTATTACATTTGAATGTCCTGGTTGTTTGTCCATTTGGACACTAACTTTGTGCCGGGGCCTGAGTTTTGCATGTACATCCATTTTACTTACTTATTTGTGTGTGACTGGCCGTTCCTTGTAGCTGGGGAAGATGTACTCTGACTTCGAAGGAAACCCCAGTTAGTTGACTACTTCAATCTGCCTATAGGGCAGGCAGGGGGTCTATTCTTATTGCACCCAAAAAAAAATGACACTCCCAGAACCTGTATGTCAAAAAGTTATAGCAATAAAAGTTGTATCTGAATCAGCAAGTTTTACATAAAACACTGATGTTTTTGTGTTTTCAATTTACAATGTCATATGTCAACCAGCACAAATTACATAAACCACAAGATAGTTTTGTATGCAAAGGACTTCTCTTACGCCAATGGCAGTTCTGGGATTGATACATTATGAAGACCAAACAGTATTCAATAGGCGATGTTGTCAACATCACACCGACTGCCTTTACTTTCCCAAAACACTTCCTGGTACTCATTTTAGGCTCGATCAACCTGGTAGCAAGGTCACCTTTGTGTGTGTGTGTGTGTGTGCATATATATATATATATTTTTTTTTTAAATCTTCAATGTTGTATTTGAGTTGGCACAAATTTCCCCCAACAATGACATTTCTGTGTTTCCAAGTTACAAAGGTCCTTGTGAGTCAAGGTGAATTACATTAACCAATATTTCTGTGTTTCCAATTTACAAATGTCACATGTGAGTCTGGGCGAATAACATTAACCGGTATTTATGTGTTTCCAATTTAAAAATGTCATTTGTGAGTCTGGGCGAAATACATTGACAGATATTTCTATGTTTCCAATTTACTAATGTCATATCTGCGTCAGGGTGAATTACATTGGGCACTGGTAGTTCTATGTTTGCACATCACAAATGTCATTAATAGTCAGCATGAATTACATTTTAAAAAACTTCTCTTTTTGCCTTGGATTGGTTTTGACAGTGGTATTGACAGCCAACCATCTAAAAAGCAATGGCATACTACTGAACATAAAATTTACAAATGTCATATATGACTCCGCATGAATACAAGCATTCTTATGACTCTTCAACCTGCATCTTTTTCTTCTTCCTCTTTTTCTTACCTGCCATTTTCACCGCGTTAGGCCCTATACCATACTTGCTCAATCTAGATACAGACATCACCTTCTGTAACTGCTTTGCTAGCTGTTTCTTGTCCACCTGTTGTGGGCCATTCTCCATGCTACTTTTAGAACCAAAGTTACTAATTGACATCTTTTTCTTCTTATGCTGCTTATTTAATTTCTTACTATCACTAGAGTTTGTTGTCCCGTGACTCATTTGTACATTTTGTTTCAGCTTCTTGATTTTCTTTTTCTTCTTTTCCTTAACAGCAGAAGAATTTTTTATTCTGCTATCACCATTTGCCGTTAACTGCTTTGTTTGGCTCTTATTTTGCAACGGTGCTATCATCTCCCCACTTAATGCATCTTCCTTATTGTCTATGCCAACATTCTTGTGTTTCTTCTTTTTCTTTACTCCCCTTCTTTTTCTTGGCCTTTTCTGGGGATTTTTTAGAACTCTGTTTATCCGTTGTTAACCTCTGTTCAGGAACTGTTAGTGCGTCATCTCCCGGAGATTCATCTTGTGATGTTTCCTGCGATGTTGATGGCTGAGTCTCTTCATTGTCGTTAGCCTTCTTCTTTCTTTTCTTTTTCTTCTTAGGTTTTTCCATTTTGTGGATAAAACTGAAGGGGGAAAAATGAAATTTTAAATTTTCAAATATGAAAAAAAGGGAAAGTTTGTGGGGACATTTTATGGATATGTGTATATATAATTTTATATATATGTGTGGTATGTGTTGGGGTTAAAATACATATTTTGGGGGTTTTCCCGGGGCCAATAGGGTTGTTTCAAATTGGGGCCCGCAAGGAATTTAAATTTTATCTCACTGGGGACAAAGGTTTCGGAGCAAGTATGGGGAAAAGGGCCAAAAAAATGAGTTGAAAAAGGGCTAAGACTAAAGGGGAA